AAGTGATGAAGAAAATGTAAGTAATGCAGACTAAAAGTGTGCCTTGAATACATTCTGCACCGAGCTCCCCCCACACACACCCTCAAAGCTGGTAGTAAAACATTTCACAGCATAGCCCTGCTTAAAAGGGATGGCACTATCAGTTGAAGGACCAGGAAAGGTCTCCTGGAAGACGCAATAGCTGAAGTGAATCTTTAGATAGTTCATTCTTCAGGTGGCAATGTGATGACGAAGCATCCCAGAAGCAGACACGTTCTCTAATAATCCCGAAGAACATTTCCCTGGGCTTTCAATTCTGAGTGGTTTGAACTACAGTGATAAAGGCAATATACATAATGAATAGAATTTAATAACTGAATATCATTCATCTAAATACACGTCCTGATTTCAGTCCAAAGATCTTTGGCGCTGAAGACGCTGCTGGGAGATGAAGTTCCTATCAGCTAGCTGGTACTTCAACTTCTCTCACATTTCTTCCTTTCAGCACCCATGATATGACTGTCACTTTTGTATACAGGACGGAGGAGGGCAAAGATTCTTCATTCAGCCTTGCCTAGAATCTTCTCTGAGTTGGGCTTTAAGGGAGAATTAACATCAGACCTGTACAAGCCTACATGGTACTTGTAAGAGATATCTGGGGGCACGGGGAAGCGCTCTAACACTTCACAATTCTATGATTTTATAAAACTTAGGGGGGTATTAATGACCTTACATGAATCTCTAGTAAAATGGACCACTGCTCAAAAGGCATAGACAACTTAGGAAAAATTTTCTGGGATCAACTGAGTGTACCCAAATGCACAAATATGGAATAGGGAAGACATTGTTCATGTGAAAAAGACCTGGGACCTAGATGATTTCAAATTAAATAATTCACATACTCTGTGTGTTCCAGCCACGTTGGACCATTGGCTATTTCCCAAATTCAGCATTCTATCTCCTACCCTGTCCCACCCCAATTTACTGATACAAGCTATCCCCTTCTTTCTGGAATGAACTCCCCCTTCAAATTCACCTCTCTGATTTCTTCTTCCTTCAAGGTTCAGCTCAGGCACCACTTCCTATGTGAAGCCTGCCCTGATCCTCCCATAGGCTAAAGATCTCTGCATCCTCAAAACTACCTCAGACACACTCATTATTGCCCCTGCAGTCTCCCAGTAGAATGTAAACTTCTTGAGGGTAGGGACTGTTTCCTTTTTGTCTTTGTATCCTTAGGGTTTAGAACAATGCCTTAGACTAGATAGTGGCTTAATACATGTTGGCTGAATTGAATAGAGATCCATGAATTACAGAGTCCAAAAGCTAGACAGGACCTCAGAAAACACAGCTTACCCAAGAAGTGATCAGTAAGCTTAAAGATCTCTAGGGATAGGGAACCCACCATCTTCTAGGGCAAACCATTCCACTTTAGGATATTTCTAATTGTTTAGGAAGGTTTTCCTTACTTCAAAGCAAGTTCGATCTCAACAACATTCACCCTCCTCCCCACCCCATTTGGCCCTGTGGAGCTAATTAGAAAAAAAAATACTAATCTCTCCTGCACCAGGATAGTCCTTCAAATACTAATATCAGTTATATGCCCTTTAAATCTTTCCTTCTCCAAACTAAACATTTCTAGTTAAACTTCGTCCTAGTTTGGAAGAGAAACATTCAGAGACTATCTGAAAGAAAAAAGAGGGAAGTAATTAGAATTAATTTGATAAAGCCTTGTTAGCAATTGAATTCTGGAGCAGCTTCCATTTGCATTAGGGCTCGGCAGGAATGTGCCAGCTGCCCATCAAAAGCAGCTGGACAGAAGGTTTGACAAATCCTGAGAAAAGGCACAAAGAGGCCCACCATAAAGCAGTTAAGACCTGTTCAAGACCCCCCCCCCCCACACACACACACACACTGAAGGGAGTAAGTGTAGCTAATAGGAAGTTTGCCAGGGCAGTTCCCCATAAGAATAAGCCTCAGAGTGCTACCAACAAGAACAAGGATCTATGGTGTTTCTGCCAGTGCTATGGATGCACAGAGGGCATGTTGAATTCTGGTCCAGAGAAGGAGGGAGTCACAGCTAGGGGAGTGCGTCTCTACTCTCCCTATCACCAGGTTATTAGAAGTAGCTCTCTCGAAAGGAAAGAGTGTCAAGGAAGAAACAAAACAAAAAACCCTGTGAAAACAGAATTCCGCAAATTTGGGAGTTCTTGGATTTAATCTGCCAAGACTCACTAATGCCAAAGTCAAAAACTTCTGGTTTTGCAATATTGTTGAAATATGTATAAAAACCTCACCCAACAATGATGTTCTGGTTAAACTTCTGACAGAGAAATGTTTGGGTGATAGTGAGATTTAACACTCATGACACAGTAGCCCAGGAACTCTTAAAGTCATTTAAATGGAAGCATCAAGAACACCTGAGGTTAAAGCTTTTCCTAAGACAGTTACTGGTTGTGGGACCCTAGGCAAGACACTTAACCTCTCTCAGCCTCAGTTTCCTCACCTACACAATGGGGATAACAACAGCACCTACCTCATAGGGTTGTTGTGATGGTTAAAAGACATGAATTGTGTAAAATGCTTTGCAAACTTTAAAGTACTGTGTGTGTGTGTGTATACATACACACACACATATATAAAATCAAATGATTTTATTAAAATTATTCAAATAATAGGACACTTTCAGATTAAAAATAAAAAATCCAACCATTTATAATTTCTAAACTATATTTGAACATATGGTAAATGAATGAATTCTACATGAAGAGATAAATAAAATGGCTAAAAAATAGACTGAGATTCACAGGAGACCTAGGTTCAAATCCTAGTTCTGTCTGTGACTGTAGGTAGGCCCATCTCCTTTTCTGAGCCTCAGCTACTTATCTGAAAAATAAGATGGCTGAACTACATGATCCCTGATATGACTTCTAGTTATATCATACTATGGAGAACAAGCTAAGGCTCTTCCCAGCCCTGAGAGTCCCCACTCTAATGTCCTTCCCAGCCCTGTGAGTGTCTGTTCTAATGTCTCTCCCAGTCATGACAATCCATGTTTTCTGTGTTTTAAAGATCTCATTAAATACTCTTTTAACATTCTTCTACCCTTTTCTCTTTTCAGTTATATTGAAGTTTTCTACAGAATTATGCTGAGCTCTTCCAATGACCTCCTTTGTCCCCTTCTTGGGCAGGAATCTGATAGAAGTTTGGATGTCCCTTGAACATCATCTAAACTCCTTTAACTTCATTGAGGATCCTCTGTCTTAATTAGGTTGAATAGATCATTTTCTGAGTTTGTTCAGTTTCTAGTCTGGAGAAGGGAACAGAAAACACCTCAGCTAAGGATAGGTTGTTAATTGATTGGTGAAATGAAGTTACAAGGGGCACTTAATTCCAGGAGTAAGGTTATAAATGAGTACTGACTTAAAAGCATTACCTTGGGGTTTTGTGGCTTTCCTAGGGTTTTGGTTCTACTCTATTAATGACATTATTGGGAAATGACTTCGTTCAGGACAACCACATGTAGGATATATCTTATCTCGATCTACATCATTGTCATTTTTCTCTCTCAACAGCTGCTTAAGACTAGCCCAACCCTCTCCAAGCCAAAAAATAGAGATGAGCTCCAGGTGGACTCCATGTCTGAAACAACTATAACACATTTCAAGAGCACTTTAACATTTGCAAAGCACTTTTGTACAAGTACTACTATTCCCATTTTACAGATGAGGAAACTGAGGCCCTGCTTAAGAAAGGAAGTAGCTTGGCTGAGCTCAAATAGATAATTATTAATAGAACGGATTTAATGTTGGCGGCGTTGGCAGCAAACAGGTATACTAGTGCTTTGCTGGTAGAGCTGTGAATAAGTACAAACATTTTGGAGAGCAATTCGGAATTATGTAAATAAAATTAAAATGTCCATGAACTGTTTACTTCAAGATCCCACTGCTGGGGAATCACTGATGAAAAGAAAGTCTCATTTATACCAGAATATTTACAGCAGCGTTTTTTGTGATAGCAAAGAATTGAAGACAAAGTAATTGCTCACAGGTTGGGGAATGACCAAACAAATTGTGGTACATGAACATGATGAATACAGAGAAACTTGGAAAGATTTCCATGAACTGATGCAAAATGAAGTAAGCAGAGCCAAGAAAACAATATATACAATGACTACAACAATGTAAATGGAAAGAACTACAAAACAATCAAGAGGGAATATTTCGAAATTACAACAAACAAGCATTGCTCCAAATAAGTGATAAAAGAAGACAGCTCTACCCCACTCTTCTACAGAAACAGAAGGTCCATGAGTAAAACACATTGCACATTTCCAGACATTTTCAATTAATTGATCGATTTTGCTGATTTTTCCTCTTTTAAAAATTATTATTATTATATGGTATGGCTCTCTGAGAGTCAAACTCAGGAAAAAAACTCTTAGGATCTACTCTCAGGAAGATCATCACTGAGGCCCAAATCCAAAGAGACCATTTCTGAGATTCCCACACATACTTAGAGACATTATCTGAGACCTCTCACATCCAGAGATATCCTCTGAGACCCAAACCTAAATGACCACCTCTAAGATCCTTTGTATCCAGAGGGACAATCTGAGACAACTACTATCCAGAAAGAATCTCTGAGACACCCATCTACTCTAAGAGGTTATCTCTGAGTCTCAAACACAGAAAGACCATCTCTGAGCTTCCACAGAACCACATATCATTGACACCCAACCCAAAAGATCCCCTCACATTCCAAGACATTATCTCCGAGATCTCTCATATCCAGAAAAACCATACTAAGATGTCCACACATCCAAAGAGACTGAAACCCCTCGAATGAAAAGACCATCTCCAAAACACGTCAGAGAGAAACCATCTCTTAAATCCCTCATACCCAGAGAGACCATCTCTGAGTCCATTTCTTAGACCCCTTGATGTAAGGGGCACAGATTCCCTTGACAAGTCTACTTTCCTCTGGCCCATGCCTTTCTGACCCCAGATGACAAAGCTACTTACCACACCACCTCCAGCAGAGTGCACTAGCACCGACATTCCTTCCCGCAGATTGGCAACCTCAAAAAGCATCATGTAGGCAGTAACAAAGTTCATGGGGAAGGCAGCAGCCTCAGGGAAATTCATGTCATCTGGGATCCTGTAGACAAACTCTACTGGTGTGCAAACGACCTCTGCCCATGCATTGTAATTCACAAACGCCATGACACGGTCTCCGATCTGTGGGGAAAAACACAAGGTGAGAGGAGGCTCCTGGAGATGGCTTTAACAGGAACTGAGAGGACCAGCAGCTCATCTGATGCATAATAACTGTTACAATTCTAAGGCACCTGACACTTTCCCTACCACAGCACTAATGAAATCATTAGTATCCACATGTTATAGATGATAAGATTTCAAGTTGGAAGGGCCTTTAGGGATCATTTTAGCCCAACTCTCTCACTTTGTAGTTGGAAAAACAGAAGCCCAGAGTAGTCCAGCGACTTACCCAACAACATATATAGGAGAGTAATAGCCAGGAAAGAGTCTTGGCCTAGGCTGTCATAAGTGATGTGAATGTCATGGTAATACTGATCTGATTAATGTTCTCACAGCAATAACTGGAAATGAGTGAAGGGGATAGGGGGCAGGTACAACTGGTAAGATGTTCTCCCTTGTGGTAGACCCAGTTGTCTTGGGAGATGGCTAGTTGGGGTAGGAAGCATGGTCTGGAGCCAGCTAGGCACAGTGGGTTAGGTGGGTTTTTTCATTCACTTATCAATAAGGACAGCTCACTCCCAAGGCAGAGTCCAAAAGCTGAATGGATTAACTAGGCCCCATCCCTATGAGAGCTGGCAAATATCAGAGGCAGGATCTATGCTGGGATTCCAGGTCATCCAGGATAACGGACGTAGTGTTTTGCAAACCTTAAAGTATCGTATAAATATTAGCTATCATTATTATTATTATTATTACAAGGGTTATTATGCCCATTTTATTAATGAGCAAACTGAGAAATACAGAGGTTAAGTGACTTTGTCATGATCACACAGGGACTAAGTCTAAGAGATAATATTTGAACTTAGGTCATTTCTAACTTCAGTACTCTTCCTACTGCATCACATTTTGTCTCCTGGTGTATAGTGGGAAGAACCTTGCACTTAAAGTCAGATAATCTGATTTGGAATCATGATTTAACCATTAACTACCCAGGTAATTCACTTCACCATTTAAGCCTCTGTTTTACCCATACATAAAATTAGAGGATGGTCTAAGCCAGTGGTTCTTAACTTGGGGTCCACAGGCAATATGTGGATAGATTTTTGGAGGTGGGGGAGGAAGAGAAATCTGGGAACTTGTACTGGAAAGAAATGTTTATTTTCACTAACCTCTAACTGAAATTTGGCATTTCCTTCAATTATGAATGTAGATTACAACCCACAATAGTATTAAGCTTCCCCAGACTGTCAAAGGGGTCCATGACATAAACAAAGTTAAGAGTCCCTAATCTGAATGATCTCCAAGTTTCCTTCCTGTCCTAAAACCTTTGATTCTATGACATGTTGAACATTTTTTTCATACATATCCCTTTGATATCACCTCCGTCTCCTCAGGTGACTCTAGATAATTCAGGCTCTAGAAACCACCACCCATGTTGTTACCTCATAGCCTTTCACATTGTCTCCAAGGGCTTCCACAATCCCAGAGCACTCAAATCCAGGGACCAAGGGTGTCTTGGGAGGGTTGTCAATATTCCCTTGTCTTACCATCAGATCAATGAAATTTAAACCACTGTGAACAATAAAAAGGAGAAAAGCAAGTCAACATGATAGAATTTGACTAAAAGAAACTTTAAAAGTGCTCTCCTGAAATGTGCACAGGAACACATCACTCATCCAGATAGCATTTACTCAGCAGCCTTGTCTAGGCCACACTCAGACAACACGACAGAGCATGGGAAATAGCATCAGTTCAGGAGCCACGTTGGCTACAAAGTCCACACTCCCCTCAAGCCCTCACTTTACTGATTTAGTCTTCTTTTAGATACAAACTGAAATAGCTGAATTACATTGTTTTCTAGCCCATAAGTGTAACCAAAAAACCCCTTCTCCCAATTACTCTTGCTCTGTCGTGTACAGGGACACTCCCATGGGAATGGCAGCACGTGTGCCTCTTTTCCCTTCTCAACTTTACATCAACTGACCTCCTGCCAGAAGCTGAATTCAGAAAACAGGTGTGCATATAATGTAGTGGAAAGAGTATGTATGGGTCTGGACATCTGGAGACCTGGGTTTGAGGCCTGGCTTTGTCACTCTGTGACCTTAGGAAAATTGTTTCACCTCTCTGAGCCTCAGTCTCCTGTTCTATACAATAAGGGAGTTGAACTTGATGATCTCCCAGCCATCCCAAGGATGTCTTTTTTATACTTCCATGTCTATGCCTCTTCCCTAGCAGGAGTAGGTGCAAATAAATGTGCTTTGTTGGGCTACATCATATGAAATAGTCCCAAATAGGCCCTGCTCTGCTTTATGGACAGTGTCCTTCCTGGGGCCACTAAATGATACCACTTACCCCTGGACCATTTGAGGACATGGGTGAAGTAACTGACAAATGTCCCAGAAGTAAAAGAATGTCAGTGTTGGTAGGAACTGTAGGATACAAAGAACATAGCACTTCCTCAGAGCTAGAAGAGGCTATAAAAGACATCAGTTCCAACTCTTTTATTTTACAGATGAGGAGGCAGCAGCCAGAAGAGGGAAAGTAACTAGCTCTAAGCAACCAAATAAGAGATAGAGGTAGAAATAAAGCCTGGTCTTTCCACTAGCTTGTCACCGGTACAAATTTAACATCCTAGCTTTCAGGGCCAAGAGTATCACAGCAAGAAGCTATCCCAAACCTTAGGATGGGAGTATGGAGTTGACTTTAGCTCAGAGAACAAAGAGAATCAAATTACAAAATCATTCTGCCTGATTAGCTCATTGAATTGGGATGTAGAAATAAATGAAATGATTGTTTTTAGGTCTCAAATGAACAAAAGAAAAAGAGAGAGACAGAGAGGGAGAGAGACAGAGAGGGAGGGAGACAGAGAGGGAGACAGAGAAACAGAGAGGGAGACAGAGAGACAGAGAGGGAGACAGAGAGCAAAGAGAGGGAGATAGAGAGACAGAGAGGGAGACAGAGAGACAGAGAGGGAGGGAGACAGAGAGGGAGGGAGACAGAGAGGGAGAGAGACAGACAGAGAGAGACAGAGTCTCCCTGAGTAGACAGAATGATGTACTATAAAGGTAGGATCAACAACAGTGTCCAAGGAGTCAAGGACACGTCTTTAAAAAGTAAATCACATTTGTGGCCACAGCTCTGCATAGGATTCATCCTGAGGATTCTGGACTTCAGCAATCAACAGCAGCTAACTGTTAATAAGGAGCAAGATAAGTAATTGTTTCAGCAGTGGGGTCAAAACTCAAAAGGAAACCAGGCATAAGTAATCCTCTGGGCCACATAATGACTTTGAAATCACAGATAAACATTATTTATATTCTATTGTATTTTTTTTTATTTTGTTAAATATTTGCCAGTTACATTTTAATCTGGTTCCCGCACTTGTGGGCTGCATGTTTGACGCCTCTGAATTAAAGCTCCATGAATGTACTACCTGGGAAATGATTTTCATTAAATCAAAAAAGTTTCTGATTACAATGTTTTATCAATAACTACCTATGTGACCTAAGGTAAGTCACTTCCCTCCTTCCATTACTTCATCTATAAAAAATAAAGGGGTTGGTTTCCCAGCTCTGACAACCTATATTCTAAGATTCCTTCCAGCATGAACATTGTGCTCTAAGGTCCCTCCCCGCTGACATTCTATATTCCAAGTTGTTTTCTAGCTCCGAAGTTCTATGTTCTTGTACTTCTTTCAGCTTTGACATTCTGTGTCCTGTGAACTACTAGAACTACTAGAAGCCCCTAGACTACTGGTTCTCAAAATGTGGTCTACGGAACCTTTTTAGGGGTACCTGGGAGCTCAAAACCACTTTCATAATACTGAGATGCTTTCATTTTAAATAAGTAAATATTGATAGATATAACTTATGTAAACAGAAGCTCTTTGAGTTCTCAATAATTTTTAAAAGTGTAAAGGGGTTATGAGAGAAAAATGTTTGAGAACTGGGGATCAATGAAATCACAGGTCCCCTTGAAGCACAATACACTTGTACAGTCCCAAGCAAAAGCCAAAGAACATGAGACAATGCATGACAGCAAGAGAATTAATGGACTGAGTGTTTCTGGATAACTGTAGAGGGACCCAAGGTAGTTCATATATTCAAAGTGAAAAATGAAGCCACATGATTACTTTAAATGATAAAGACCAGATTGGTGGCCGTCTCAGAAAATATAATTTAGATTGGACTGCTGGACACAATTGCATCATCCCAGTGTACCCTGACTGAGAGAGGGAAGTGCCTCAGGAGAGATGAGTCAGGTATGGACTATTAAGCCCATTCTGGATCCACTCTGTCATCACAGACAGCTTTCCGGGTAGTTATAATCAAGTTGGAGACTTTAACCAATCCCCTCCTGAAACCTACAAGCAGATAAAATGAGTAATGGCTCCCCCATTTTGCTGGGAGAACACACTGACAAAGTTCATTCACTATCACTCTAATCCCATAGATAGAGCCTATAGGAAGCCAAATAGCTCACACAAAAGGTTAACCAATATCACCTCGGGATGAGGACCATGAAATAAAATGTTATATCCCAGATAATGATTTCTCCCATTTCCCACAGAATCACAGTGGCTGGTCTCACCCATCACCAGCACTGATGGATCCTTTTGTTGTTTCCCACTCTTCATGACCCCATGGACCATAGTACACCATTCCCTTTTATCCTCCACTATCTCCCAAAGTCTGTCCAAGTTCTTGTTCATCGCTGCCATTACTCTACCTCTCCATCTCAATTTCTGCTGTCCCTTTCTCCTTTTGCCTTCAAACACTCCCAACATCAGGGTCTTTTCCAATGAGTCTTGGCTTCTGATGGATCCTTTGCATTGTCTAAATTATGTTGCCTGTGTTTAGTCTCATAAAATACAATCAACAGTAGTTTCCCTTATGCTTTCACTGCTCCTCCCAAGGTGGGAGTTGAACATCTGTTGTTTCCCTGCGTATAGACCTCTCCCTAGTAATGGCCTCAATGTTAAACAAGGACATGGTCACCCTCATTCAAGTGGTAGCATTTGACGACACAGACAAAATCCTGATGATTCCTATTTCTTTTTCAGGATAGGCCGGTCCCTTGAAGAAATGCTGAATTATATCATACCAGTGCCTGCTTCCATCTCAAAATATGATGCCCTTTGATGCAACACTTCCATTACTAGTGTCTGTTTTTATCTTCTGAACCTTCAAACACGAATTTTTTCTTGTGCCTCAGCTTTAATATATCAGTTCAATGTCTTTTCTAGATGAAAACACTCACATAAGGATAAAACTAATTTGAGGCTATATGTCTAATGCACTTTTCTATTAAGGATTTCTTTTTCTTGCTTCTAATAGAACAGACAGTTCTGTTCTTTGACAAATGCCAAGAAGTCGGAAAGGGTCACTGGTATCCTTGGAGAAAAGGGAATCTAAGGAGACACCGTTATAGTTGTAAAAATGACCTTTCAGATTACATCAGCTCTCTGGACAAGACACTATGACAGTAAAAGGTATAGTGGCATAGTGGGAAGGCACTGATTTAAGGTCTCTGTGTTTACACTTAATAGCCATGGTTCGAAGAATTTAGAGACGGAATGAACCCTATAGTGCATATAGTACAATCCCTTCATTTATGTAGAGAATTAATCTAAAGTCAAGAAAAGGAATGGGACTTGTAGCCATGGCTGGTTGCCCACTTCCCTCTTTAAGCCTCAGTTGCACATACATAAGTTGGAAATGATAATACTTGAAATAAATGTCTCAGAGGGGTGTTGTGAGGAATATATTTTGAAAATTGTAAAATGTTACAGAAATGGGAACTGTTAGTATCACTACTAAGCAATGAGAGCTTCTTTTCAAATAAGAGGTAAGGAAAAGAATCATCAATAACTTTCATGAAAATATTTGTTACATAACTGCTTTAAACTAGTCACTCAGGGCTGGCTTTATGGGAGAATGGCACACAAATTAGCCCATAAGCTCCTCTGAGATTTTCTCACCAGACATGCCTATTATACTGATGACCCATGGGACAAAATCTTGCAGCAATAATAGTAATAATTCTTATTATGTAATACTTTCCTCCAAACAACCATGAGATAAGTAGTGCAAGTATTATTTCCACTTACAGATGGGGAAACTGAGATCTGGAGAGGTTATGTGATTTGCCAAAGTTCATAGTTCATTAATATCAGAGCTGTGACTCAGACCCAGATCTTTTGGCTATGTTTTTGCTGATCAATCATTATCCCATCCTAATTTTGGGAGTTCTTAATCTGGAGTGTGTGAACTTGATTTAAAAATAATATTCTGATAGCATTTGAAATTATTTCAATATAATTGATTTCCTTTGTAATGCTATGTATTTTATCATGAGCATTTAAAAACATTATTCTGAGAAGGGGTTCATGGGTTTCACCAGCCTGCCAGAGTGCCCCACGATACATAAAAGGTTAAGAACTCCAGTTCTAAATAGACCACAGACCTCCCATTTCCATCTGTCTGTCTAACTGGGGATTTCTTCTCCCTAGGAATCTTGAGAGGGGCTAGAGATCAATGGCTCGAGTAAAGCATGGACTATTGAGATTTTAC